GTGCTTGTGTGACACACCGAACAGCTCCCGTTGCGGGATAAGTGTGACAAGACCCTCTCAGGTCTAAACCCCTGAAGCCGAAACCCCAAAATATGTTGGAACAGCTGGAAGCCTGCAATAGCTCTCACGCGCATCTCAATGATGCCCTTTGTCTGGAGGATCTGGCCTGGGTCAGAGCCAAGGCCAAAAACAAAAAGTGTGATAAATTGAAAGAAAGCGGCGAGAAGAAGGAGCAACAAAAAATTAGTCCGGCAGTAGAAAAGAAAAGCCTGGGAACCCTGACATGCTCCAAGGACATGCTTGCCGGGCAGGTCCGTGCTGAGAAGAGCTAAGAGAGTGAAGTCCCTCTGTCGATAAGCATTTTCAAGGCAAGTAGCCGACCAGGAAGGACATTGGAATATCCAGAGCCCAATAAATACTGGAGCACCACCCCATCGCCTGCCACGGATATCGGATAATCAGCATTCAGGGCTCCGCTGAATTAATAGTACTGCGTACTGCGTGTACTGTTAACATTGGTGTCCACGACCTAGTTCCAAAGGCATCTTCCCACCTGCACCACGTACCAGCAGTCGTACTGCAAAGATACATGTGTGATGTTTTAACCCGTCTTTCGTTTTGCCGGCCTCTGTGAAGGCGTTTCCCGGGGGATCAAAAACCTGCCATGGCCCCAAGCGATACTGGAAGCCGTCAGCACAGAAATGCACAGTCTCTCCCAACTGATTCTTCCCTGTAGCCATCCAGAACAAGGAGGCCACCTGCCTGCATGGGAAGCCAGAAGAGATCGTAGATGATGAGGAACAGTCCCAGAACCTAAATACATCGCCAGACAGATGTGCAGCGCTTTGCTCCTTCCTGGTTTAGTGAGCTTCATGCGGCATGTCCGAACCAGCTTTGCAACATCTGGGCCTGCCTCGAAGGCCAAGCGCTTCGGAGAACTAGGATCCAGCACCAACCTCAAGGCAGACTCCAGAGGTGCACTGCCTGCGCAGCACAAGCTCGCTCCGTGCCCCGCCCCCGAGCTCTGGGCTTGTTCAACAAGTGCAGCATATAGCTCTGGTCGGAGTCATCCTCGAGGGCTCCGCGGTCACGCGTTGCGTACTACTTTTCGGCTTTTGGCGGAGCTGACACCCCCCCGCCACTTCATGGCTCGACGTTTCCACGTAGCTCCTCCAGGCCATTGTCGCCGGGAACACCGTTGGTGACGGTCCTGCTCTGCCAAAGCTCGAGAGACAGGAAAAGCCCCCGCGGCTTTCCCAGAGTGAAACGTTGACGCGCAACGGCTTCGTCTCACCGGTTAGACGTGCGGTTCTTATGTCCACCGCACACATAAGCCTACTGGGGGAAGCAGACAAAGGGAGTTGTCGCGTGGCATGTGTTGCTACAACAGACGTCACCACGAGCATGTCTGTGTGTTGCTGGAAATGCCACGAGGACGTTGAAGGATGTGGGATGGCTCAGTGTCACCCGTGGAAGGGAAACAATACATATGTACTTGAAGGCCTTCTCCACTGCAACAGAGAAATCAGAACTGGGGTGTGGTTAAACTCTTGGCGATGTTCATTCGAACACAACCCGTGGAATTAACGATGAGGTCCCGACACTGGCTCCTACTGCCCGCATGTGAAACACTGCACAGCGGTGTTCGTCAGACCATGTGGCCACATGAGGCCAGATCCTGCTTATGGACCAGCACATGCTCCACAAGTTCCTCTCCTTGTAATCTTCGAAGTGGTGGTGGCTGCCTTCCTGCATTACAGCACCGTGGACACAAGCAAGGGCTAGCGACAACGAAGTGTAACCCGCCCTAAGCTCTACACTGTGCTGACCATGCTTGTCTTTTTCCAGAACGAATGCCTTCTCCATGCCGCTGCCAGTTTGAGGTCCGGTGGAGGCCTGAGGATGTCACACCAAGTGAAGGTGAAACCAAGCCCAGAAAACTGACTTGTCACAAGGTACTGATGAATACAACATGCTTTCCTGGCAAAAGGTTCACGACCAGCCCTGCTCTCTATGTCCAGATTGGGACAAGCATTCACATCAACCACACCTCACTCAAAAATCGGCAGCGGGCCAGGCTCGATCACATCAAACTCATTACACTCTTACACAAGGCATCTGTATCATTCCTAGCTGGTTTGTCATAATGTCGAATTGGCCAACATGACAACACGCATCATGTGTAAAGCATCTGTAGAACATGCCGCAAAACAAACGCAAATGCGCAACATCTGAGCCGTGGTGGCAAAGAATGTGAGCAGGAGGAGGGCAGCAACAACACCCACCAAGCAAAAACTAAACTTGCAGTCTGAGCGAAGCTGTGTTAGCTCATGTCTTTCTCGATGCGGCTCCTTGATTTCGCTTTGCCCCTTAGGCGGCTAAAAACATCGCCCAGCGTCGATCCCAGGAGATCGGAGAGTCGAGAATGGCGGCGGGACCCGGGAGGCTCCTCGGAGCGAAAGGCTTGGAAAGTTAGGGGGCTTTTATGGTGGTTTTTTGGTGTTTTTGTGGTGTTTTTATGGGGTTTTCTAGGGGTTTTTAGCCTCCTTGTTGGGACCCAGCGGGAACCGACCACACCATGCTTGTTGGACTTCGCTTCTGTCTGGTTGCCATGGATAAAGACTTGCTGGCAATTCTCCGCCAGAGGAGTGACTGTCGGGACTTAGCTCACAATCAAATCGGATCCACGGGAAGTCATGCAAGGTGTGTTAGCATCGCAAGGCTTCGAAACCCTACTCATGGACCGCATGTGACAGTACACCAAGACCGCTGGGCTGAAGCTGGCAGCTCCCAAAATTTCTGAGATATGCATCGAAATCCATACTCCTTGCCCTGGCGAAAATCATGCGTGCATACCCTTCAAGATGAGAGACACACCAAACATGGGCAAGTCAAACCTGACGCTACGCAGTCTCGTGGTTCATTCTCACTTGTGAATGGCCCAACATTGGTAAAGTGCAAGAGTCCCCCAAAGCAGACAAGGCACGTCGCCCGGCAGCACACCCTGGAAGTTAGCGCTGCGGAAAGAGCCCTTCGCGCTGGTGGCTGCTTCTGGCACCAGGCCTCTACAAATGTGGTCATGCAATGCACTGTTCGTTGAGGCCTTGCTGGAAGTTCCATACATCTGATGTCCTAACCCAGGAATGGATATGGGGTTTCCGAAAATAGGGGACCCTAATTTTGTACCCTACTGTAAGTAGTAGGATCCTTATAATAAGAACCCCGAGAGATGGTACCCCTTATTTTCTGGAAACCCCCCTTTTGTGTCGGCTGCTCCAGTCCTTCCGAAGCGTCGACGGAGCCCGGAAGCTTCTTCTGCAGCTGCACATCATCGCCTTGGCCAGGGGTCGCATGCTTGGCAGAACTATCGACGACGGAACAAGAAGTGCCCCATAAATTGGGGAACCCTCAGGAGAGGCCCCCATGAATGTGCGCTCGTACTACCTCTAGCTCCAAACTGGAGCCGTACACCGGATGATGCACGATGGAAATGCACATGATGCCCCGGCTCAACTTAAAGTGCTTCGGGGCCTTCCGCTAACGCTCACAGCTCTGACACTCCCCCGCCTGTCACTTCGAGTTTCGGTGGCCGCGAGGCAGGTGTAGGTGGCACCAGCGACGCCGAGTCTTGCCGCTGAATAACTTAGTGGGCAAGCACAAATCAAATCTGAATGGGTCAAGCTTCTGATTTCTGCACACCAGACAGCGGCATTCTTCCAAGGTGCATCGCTTGGACCGTTCCTGCTCGCGACGAAGCGCCTCGGATGCCTGTCGCAAAGCATGCCATGGAACAGTCGGCCAGCGGCGAGCAGAGAAATGTAGGCTCGGAGTTGACATGCACTTTGGTTGCTCAATTGACCGTCAGCTTTCGCGACGGCGGCGTACGCAGGACAGCGCGTGTGCGGCCACAGGCTTGAGACTCGAGTTCGCGGGTGTCAGTTCTTCAAGCAGTTCTCTGACATGCCCTGGCAAGCATCCTTTACCGGGTAAAGCCTGTGGAGTGGGCCGACCTCTCACAAGCTCCATCTTTGGGCAAGAGGATCTCAGAGCTCTCCATCAGCAATTGTCCACACGTTCGCGCCATCTCTCATACAGGCAATCGTCGCCCTTGCAGGACGAGCTCTTCCTAGAGCCTGCCGTTTCGCATGAGGAGATCCGTTCTGAACCCAAACTCCGCTTGCACTAGTCTGCCTCTTCCAGGAGTTGCCTGACTGCGGTAATCTCTGCTGTGTGGACGTCCGCTGCCTCATGACGTCAAAGCGCTCTGAGTAGCTCTTTAATATGGCGAAGGGCTCGCGAAACTTACGGTTGCAGTTGCGGCCGGAGCGGCTTTTTGGAGCAAGTCCAGGACACCCAAGCTGCCGTCCTGCACCCCAAGTGCATTACCGTTGCATTTTCGTTCCCTCACGCAGACACAGATGCCCGCTTCCGCCAATTGAAATCTGAGTACGTCAGATGCGCCTGCCTGACTTGGTAAGAACCCTTCGACATGCAAACTACACGTTAACATGCACTGCCGGACTTCCGCATCTGTCCCGAGCCTCGGAGGTGAGCGACAATGCCGACACCATGGTGGAAACAGCCCACCCGACAGGAGCCAAGCAGGGCCAAAGCAACAGCAGCTACAGAGATTCCACAAATGTCGTTGTGGCACATGCTTCTGGCTAAGCAGAACCAGCAACACTAGTCTGGTGTCACGAAGTATGGATCTGCCAGAGTAGTCTTGTCTCGTCAGCCTCCCTCTCAAGATATCGAGCCCGTGAGACCCCTTTCACATCGTCAAGTGCTGTGAGCCGGGTCGGCAACGACCGCCATGCAGTGAGCGCACTACATGTCATGAGCCGCTAACGTCACCCAAAAGGGGCAGGAGGTGTGCCGACTGAGCCTCCTCTGGTAGGTGTGAGTTTCGGTGCTTGCAATCTTCTAAAGAGCTTAGCCGGCACAGGTGCACTCTGAATCTCACAAACTGGCTCTCTCCCCGCAGAAGCTGTGCCCAGGGCGGAGGTGTGGGGTCTGGCGGCAGCAGCTCCGTCGTCTTCGCACCACGCAGCTGTCGGAGCCTCCGGACGCTCTCCTGGCCGGCGGCTGCCTGCAAAAGCCAGAACCCCAAGCGGTGCTCACGAAGGAATGTCAGTATATACATACATATATATATATATATACATACAAATAGAGATTTATTTATTTGTCGATATTCATATGTGTATTTATGTGTGTATATATATATATGTAATGTTTATTTATTTATTGTTTCATCTATTTACTTGTTTGTCTACTTATTTACTTCTATCTATATTTATATCTATATTTCTATTCATACTTATGATTAAGTTTATATTTATATCTATACATACATATATATACATATCTATCTACATATAGATATACATGTATATATATATATATGCAGGAAGAAAAAGGACGCAGACGGGCAGATACCGCTCCAGCGGGCCTTCGCGAAGTTGTCGACGTGCATGGTAGCACATCGACGAAAGCCCTTGCTTCCGTGGTCATTCTGCGCATAGAACAAGCTCCTGCAGCCAAAGCGGTAGCGATGAACGTAAGGCTATTTGCAGGCACGAATCGACGAAAACATGCCAAATTGCGCTCGATATGCAGCGTTACCGTTTCCCTGTTCAGGATAACAAGGAGCTGTTAATGCAACGAGAGCAAGCTCGCTTGTCCCGGAACCTGTAGTCAGTGTGCGCTCAGATTGGCATCTGATCTTCAATACACTTGACGTACTCTACCGCACGCCAGCAACTAATGCTGCATGGAAGTACAAGAGGCACAAGCACATCCTGAGATTATGAGTGCTGGCATCTATTCGCGACGATTTTACAGAATAGGTATGAAAGAGGAGATCCACGAGAGAGCTACGGAGGCCAACATGAAAATATCGACAGGTCAACCAAAAGAAAGTACGCTGAGGCGATGGCTTGAGCTGGTCATCGTGCATTAGGATGCCAATTTCCTCGATGCCAGCTTGGCAGCATTACTCACTACACCCGTGTACTCAACAGACTCAGAGGCTTGAACTCATGAGCAAAAGTGTTCAGAAGCATTAACACCGTTTCAAGACCTATCTTGCTTAGAGTGCTTCCTAAAGTCCTAAAGCCTGAAAAATCCTTACAGAAATACGAGCCCAAGCAAAGACCTGATAGTGCCACATTTGGCTGCGACCAAGCACTTGGTTCCCAACTGCGCAAGACAGAAAAGAAGCCCTCAGCCAGCTGCACAGCTACACCCCAAGGCAGCCCGGACACATTCGTCATCAGCTTTAGCAAGCTGTTCTTGCCTCAAGGCAATGCATCGTCGCATGTGAATCAACTGCATGGCTCCGGACCTTCGAATGGCACTAAGGCCCTGGCTGAACTGCAGGTTCTCGGACATGAAGTGTGCTATCGGAAGTCCATCCTCGCAGTTCAACTCTCACGCTTGCTTGCCGAGTCATACTTTCAAAAGCGCGCCTCGTCATCGGACTCAATATCCTTGTCCTTCCCAATCATTGGCACCGTCTGGCAGTGCACAGCTTCTGTAATTGAAACTGCTGTCATCCTTAAACAGGGTCTCGGTAGTAGAAGAAAGGCAACCAACATATAATATAGGAGTAAATCCTGAACGTAAAGGCTCGCACCGTGAAGCAAAGTGCAAGGAAGCTCTGAACACAAGACGGGACTGGCGAGCACAACGAGTAGGATGAAGAGACAGAAAAGGAGGACGGCGACTACGATGACGACGGAGATTTAGTTCATGGCCCCGAGGTCAAGCAAGTCTCTGTCGTCTCATGGGAGAGCCAGCGCCTTGAAAAGCCCCAATTTCCATGACCACAGGCCTCTGAGTCGAAGGTCAGCCCCTTGTCCTTCCCCTGCCGAGGCAAGCTGGGGCTGCAGAGTAAAGACACCTCCTAAACTTTCCTAGACGCCAACTTGTCTTCCCGCTGAAGCCTACCCACCTGCGGCAATCTGCAGATGCTAAGGCACAAACCGAAGCCAAGGGCCCCGTGTGAATCGCTTGCACATCCCCATCCCTACTGGTAGCGTCACAGAGCAGAGCCCCTCCGCTCAGAGAGTCCTTGAGGCCCTGAGGCTTTCATCAAATTCTGGACGCCCGAACCCTGTGTGACGGCCGGGTTGCCAACGGAAGAGGGCGAAGAGCCACGTAAGAACCAGATAGGACGTGGAGCGAAAGAATGCTGCAGCATTGTCTTCTGACAAGACGAGAGCGGAATCGTGTGAAACCTTCTCGAGACAGCAAGACGATGTGCTGTCAGATACTACACCGACTGCGCAACGTGCAATTGAGGCACGAAGCAAGCGACTCAAGACAAGGCCTTGTCTTTGAACGGGGTAAGGCTCGCGAAGATGGCGGCGGTTACCACACAGAGTCCACACCTGAGGGTGCACTTGGGTCATGATTTCAGGCTATTGCAGGCCTGCGGCTACGGCCCGAGGCGGCTGGTCTCCTCTTATTTTGGGCACCGCACGTGAGGCCATAGGGAAGGAAGTGGCCCCTCGTGTAGATGAACCCCCCGGCAGCGGGCCTTGGTCTGGTTCACGCATGCACACTAGAAAAAGAAAGAGCTCTCCGACATTTCCATGGACAACTGCCCAGGACCCAGAGCGAAGCAGCTGAGTGCACTGGCGACACGGCTCCCGCAGCACCATCTACAAAGGACTTGATGCCCAAGAACATGCCCAGGCGATCCTGCATTGGAAAGCTTCGGGATGCCGTTGCCTTGAGGCATACCATGCAAGCCCTTCAGATGTGAACCCAAGACTTCACATCCCCTGCATTCTTGACCGAACCCCCCTTCCCACCACGCAGCTCCGGTTGCACGTGGTAGTGAACCAACGCCATGTAGCCCAGGCCAGAGATTGACCCGAAGAAGCCAACAGACAGGCCTCCAAAGCAAGCTGAGCCACTTAGTGGCCTGCACTGTGGATGGAATATGAAACATGGCTCCTAAACTCCTGAAGCCTATCTGCGAGATAAACAAGCTATTGGCTGCTGAAAGCCCTGTCTACTGCCAGTGAAGTCCCAGCCAGCGACGGTCTGCGGTTAGGTGAGGGTCGGGGGAGGGGCGGGAAACTTTTACGAGCATCCGGCTTAAAGACGTACACTTGAAATCTACAAGTTCCGTCCACTGTCGACATAAACACCTACAACCGCGTTCTGTCACCATGGCTTCCCAGTCCAGACAGATGTTCACCCTGGTTACAGGTGTGCCCTCCATGGGGCAGCACCTGAGATTAGACATGATTCGACGTTCATCCTAGAACCAGGTGCAATCACACAAGACATGAGTTTTACAGAAATGGCAGCAGCACACGAATCGCCGCGGAACCTTTTCCTCCCGCCACGTTTCTTCTCCATTGGTTCTACTCACCTCCTTGCACACCCCTGCACCCTGACGCCCGAAACCCTCACGCCCTAAACTCCAGACCCTACAACTCGCCCCTACACCTCAAACAAAATCACGCAAACCCTAGATCCTGAACCCTAAGAATCATGAACGGCCCTTTAAGGCCGGAAGCGGCTACTTAGCAGCAGGCCTCGTTTCCTAAGCCCCGTTTCGGGTTTGGGGTCTAGTGGATTTAGAGCTTAAGGCTTAAGGTTCCCGCCATTCCTTTTCTTCCTTGCTTAGTTTCCATGTCCTCCCGGTTCTGCTGGGCAGTCCCTGTTGCAAGTGGGTCAAGCCTTGTATCCCTATATGTCACCACACGCACAGTATGGGCAAGCCTGCCGCAGCTGCCGGCACCCAGCGGAGGCCCACTCCCAGGATCAGGAAGAGGGTGGTAAACCCAACGCCAATGCAGCCTGGCACCGGATGAATCCGCTGTCTTGCCGCCACTTGTACACCACACGTGCTACAGGCCCGAGTCTTTTCAGTTGAAGGGCTGGCAACATGGCAACATGCGCAGAGCTGAAGCCTTCATGGATTGTTCCTCGAAAGCCAATGCTGCAGTGCACTGAGATAAACGGATGTGTCAATTTGATGCGCCCTAAACCGAACAGAAATCGAAACTCCGCATCCTTGCACCCTCGCGCCTAGCATGCAGCCTCGCGTCTCGCCCAGGTAACCGAGGAGTGTCTGAGTGCCAAATACGAGTACATCCAAGGACGAGTCAACCGTGCTGGTGGCCATAGCAGTCACTGCAGCATGGAAGGTTGAATTCATGCTTGGTATGTTTTCTGCTTCACAACTTCAAGTGCCGACACCTGTTCTGTACGAGCATTTCTGGAAGGCATAGGTAGGCCCTGTCAGCTGACCGAGGACCTTGCAGGCAGCAGAGGTGTTAGGACCTTTGCAATCAGAGGCGACTCCGGCGAAATTCTGGTTGAAGCTTTGTTCCGAGCACGAATGACTAGCGCTATAGCACTGAGAAAGTGCGTCCAGGGTCAGGAGAAGACAGTGTACTGCGAAAAACAACTTGCCACGTCTGTCTCGTATGGCATTCTCTTGGAAGGAAAACACAATCCAGTGGCGGGATTAGATTTCAAGTCGCGTTGGGACTCCGTCTAAAGAATCTAGCCGGCTCCTGAAATATCCACAGCACTGCATTCACAAGAGGCTAGCACCGCTGGGCTCGCGGCCAGTGCCGAGATACTGGTCACAAGCAAAAGATCAGACATATCACCTTTCACAAGCTTCTTTCACAGCATCTAAAGCTTGACGCAATTGTCGGGGTGTCTTGGAGTGTTGGAGGGCTGCAGTTTGCATTGTGCAACATTTCGCGAGGCTGTCTTGCAATGAGAACTGCACTGTGGACCTTGGCCTGGAATCCGGTAAGGCCGGAACTCTGAGTGAAGCCGAAGTAATCCTTAAAGAAGACGACCTGCGCTGCACGAGTTTGCAGAGCCTGGACCGAGTCTCAACGTCTCAGAAAGTCTCAGAGCCTCGGGACCCTCCGTGATGCCAAGGCTGGCGGTGAAGACAAAGGAGCCCAGCAACCTCAGAGCTCCAGCGATGAACCGCCGAAGATCCAAAGCGCCGACACCCAAGACAGCAGGGTCCGATAAGGTCCGGGCAGGATGCTGGTCTCTCTGCCCGTCATCAGACTGCCAGGCTTTTCGGGCTTCCGACTCTCGAGAGCCCTTCTGCGATTCTTCTTCAACGCGTCGAGAGGGTGTTCTTTAGATCACCCCCAAAGATCTCCGACCTCCACCAGCGCGACGCTGCCTTGCTTCCTGGCACATTGACAGAGGAGAGTGCGGGTGGGTTCCTGTAGATTTCCACACGTTCGATGCTTTGGCCTGCGTACATCTTTGGCGAGAATGCGGTGGGGGAGACGGCCCTGACGAGACGGAAGTTTAGTTTGCCGCTCCCGGCGTCGGGCTGTTTGCTGCCGGCCTCGTCGGCGAGTTCGAAGGTGAGCCAGCCTCTCCGGAGCAACACGGGTCAAGCCACTCGATTTGATTTGCTGCGACGTCCGTTCCAGAATGTCACTTGACTGTGGGGTCCATGCACTTACATGGGCTTCACATGCAAGTCTTGACGCAAGCTCCGCAGCATGCTCTCCGCATTTCGAGATTTTTTGGATGCCCAGGCACTTGGCACGTCCTGAGTGGATTCAACGAAAACCTCCGCAGCCGGTGGTCCGGTTCTGTATCTACAACAAGCAAGCCCATCAACAGCATCTGGTCCAGGAAGATGTCTAGGAAAGATTGAAATCCTCGGTCACCGGGCGAGAGAGCGGTTCGGAAATGCACGATACGATGTGGGACTTCAAGATTCAACAGACTCCACATGCACTCCGTCGTTCCCATGCATAAGCCCACGTACCTGACCTAGTGTATGCTCGCGCTCCCTATACCATGACATGTGGCTTCTCCAATCACCCGATGCATGTTGAGTACAGACCTGGTTAGGCACATACTTTTCAAGGAGCTGCACATTTCCGAAAACACGTTCAACGCTTTCAATGCGTTGACAATTGCAGCGGGCACGTATCTTTAAGCGGCTGAGTGTCAAGAGTCCTTATGTGCCTGAAGAGTCAACATGTTCATAACTGATCGGGCTTTCTCAACGCACTGATCGGTAGCTGATTTAATTCTCGTACCGACGACAACTGTAGACTGTTTGAAATTTGGATGGCACTCATGCTCTTGGTGCTCTGGTGTGTGTGCGTGTGGGTGTGTGCTGGGAAGTGACTTGATCTGATAGTGTACGCTCTGAGGATAGTTTCGCATAATTTGCACGCATGGATCGAATGAGTTATCCAATAATCGATCCTAGCGAACGTGCCCAACCACACAAATGCAAGAAACTGGAAAACAGGCATAAAGCTAATGCCAAACATTTACTTGTTTTGCTCATAGCAGTGCGCTGAATCTTCCGTCATTGCTGCCAGGCCGCATACGAATCTGCAGCCCTTGTCCGTAGCATTCTGAAACACAACCAGTGAGGCGCAAAAGGGCCTCAGACACCTTCCGCGCAAATCGCGGCTTCAGCCTATGGTACGGACCCTGTGCCAACGCAGAGCACCTATCAGACTGCAAAATGGAGTCAGATCTTAAACCATTCATTCAAGCTTGCTGATGCAAGCCTCCCGGGACACCGGAGTCGAATGCCTGGCCTCGCTTGCCGCTGACGGCTTCCAGTCGCTCTGACCGGCCGTAGGGCCCAAAAGAGTCCTCCCAAAGAGCCCTGCCCTAAGAATTCAGGTCATCAGCCCATGCTCAGCTCAGCTCAGGTCCTTCGGTGCACCGAGCGATGCCGTGCTGACAAGCCTCTTGTCCTCTTCCTGGCTTTCATGGGCTTCGCGCAAGACGTGAGACGCTCCATAACTCTCCAACCGGCTGCACGAATATGCACGAAGCGCGACACCTACTCGCCTTTCCGAAGCCCGAAGAAAAGACCACCGTCCTTGGTGAACTCTCGGCGGCCCTTCTTCGGCCCAGGGGAAGCGCCGGACTTGCCAGCGGAGGCCTGAACAGGTCCATTCTCGACTTTTTGCACTACACACTCATTGCAGCATAGCAAGAGTCAGTCGTAGGACGGGCACACCCCATGCCATCTGCATGCATGCGACCGCAGCCTGGACCCACCGGACACTGTAGAGAACCGGCTCCTGGCAGAAACCAGATCTCCAGTGAGACGATGAGGGCCGAGGGCTCAGAGGTGTCACGAAGCTGATACTCTCAATACTACAACAATATATATATATATATATATATATATATATGTATTTTGTTTATTTATATCTATATATATATATATATGCTACGGAAAATAACAGGCTTACAGAGTATACTACAGACATACCATTGCGAGCTCAGCGCGGGAGCTGTGCCGCCGCAGGCCTTCTCGGGGGCTCCCAGTGCCAGGCCGCCCGGGCCCTTGCCGCCGGCTTCGGCCTTCGGCGGTGGCTTTCCGCCACCTGCAATCCGATGCTTCCAAAACCCATTCGGGTTTAGGGTTTAGGGTTTAGGGTTGAGGGTTTAGGGTTTTGGGTTTAGGGTTGAGGGTTTAGGGTTGGGTTCCATGCCCTCTTGGAGCTGGAAAAGAAGCTGTGCAAATCTACAGGTCCTTGCCTGCAGATCTGCTCTCGAAGGCGTCGAAAAATGCTAAGGTCACCTGCCGGTACTCATCGACCGCAAGAGCGCAAGCAACATCCGGACAAGGGTCCCACCTTTCCCTCCTTGGAGGAGTCCATCTTGATCAGTTCGATGTCGGAGATGTTCGAGATTTGCCGTGGTTTCCTGCTTGCAAAACAGAAACAGTAACATCTCAAAGTGTCATGAACGCCAGAGGTAGTGCTGATTCTCACCCAGTCCCGTCGCCTGGGAGCCCTTTCACGCTTCGGCTGGCCCTTGGCCACAGTGGGGTCAGTGCGGCGCATGGCAAAGCCCCGGAAGTCGTCCAGGTTCTGTCGGCCTCCCGGAAGCAACAGTCCAAGAAACACAGCGTCTGCCTCTTTTCGTGGATCCCGCCGTGCCTTTTTCATAGCCCTCTACGTGGTCGAGGAAGTCCTCAATGGAGTCCTCGCCCTGACCGAAGCCATGGCCACTATGGTGAACACTTTCCGAGACCCTTCGTCCCTCCCAGAAGGCCGAAGGTCAGCCTGGAAGTCGCCGGCGGACTTGAAGAGGTCTCGCGACTCCTGCACTTCAGGCTTCTGGCTTCTGACTTGGGAGTTCTTTCGGGCCTGTCCCTGCAAAAACTTTACCGGCCTTCGCGCAGCGCTTCGCCTCCTCGAAGTCTTGTCGGCCGAGGTGTGCTCCGGATTGGAGCATCATGGAGCCAGCCTGGAGGCCGCAGACGCCCGTGGCAAGACGCAAGACTCGCCTTCCTCATCCTATGGCCGGCCTCACCAGCAGTGTCACGAAGGGCTCTGAAAGCCGTCTCGGAATCCTGGCGCAGCGTGCAATCTGAAACACGTCCGCTTCCGCGCTCAACCCAATTCGGGCCTGTGCCGTCTTGAGGGCATCATCGAAGTTTTTGGTCATAAGGTTGGCATTTGCCAAGATGTGAAGGCTGATGGCTGTCTGGGTCTTTTCCCCGAGCTCCTGCGACTGATCCAACCCGCCTGACTGGCCGAGAGGCCAGTAAGGCCTCTCCGCACTGGCCGCTAGCCTAACTTGCAGGGCTCCTGGTAGAGCTGAACTGCCTCCTGTGCTGCGCGGAGCGCCTCCTGACCAAGTGAGACGGCTGCTAACTCTGGATTAGACCATCGACAATGGCATCTGCACCAAATCGTCGCATTCCCATGGGCATAAGCATTGTTCAGCATACAAGCTGCGAGCAATTCCTCCCACGCTCTCAGCTCCGTGCCTGCGGATTGCCCTGACCGATGGATGCGAGTGCGAAGTGCACATCGGACACCAGCTGAGCGGCCTAGCCACCATGACACCGATGGATGCCAAGGCCGACAATGGCACGGTGGCTGTGGCACAGGTGTCAAAGCATGATTGCGGGATGCGCCTCGGCTCGGCCTTTCTTGTCTCCCAGCTTCCTGCTCAGAGCTGCAAAGGACAACCCATCAAAGCTGTGGCATTTAGCCTTGCTGCAGGCTGGCATTTGGCCTCCGGTGTTCTGGAATCCAAAGTTTCCCGGATCCGCAGTTTGACGTGAGCGGGGTTAGGCATCGAATCATCAAGCCGGTTTCGGGGCGTGCATCGTGAGCACTACGCTCTGTCCTGCATCAAGCTGAATCCCAAAACATAATATCCTGCCATACGGCCATACGTAATTTCGGCAGAAATTTAGGATGCATAAGCATCGCTGTTGCAAAATTCAGCGGTCCTACTTGAACGAAAACCCGCGGGCCTGTAGGCCAGGGCACACTCCTCTGCAGCACGCTGGGCCTGCTGGACATCGCCTGAAAGGTGAGTGTTGTCGCTGGTGCTTCTCTCAAACCCAGGAAATGCTAAAGCTCTGCTCTGCATCTTGAGGCAAAGCCGTCTCGAGCCTTTGCCAAGGTGGATCTTGGCAATTCCTAGCCAGGCTTCTCCTTCACCTTTTCGATCACCTGACAGAGCCAGGGGATGCTCGCAGCCTGCTGCCCACATGCGGCAAAACTTTCTCAAATTACCTGCAGCCCACTTTACCTCAAGATTGCAGACCCTATAAATGATCCTTTTCTCCAGCCAAGCCTTCGTGCATGCACGGAGCAGCCGGCGCAGGAAACAGAGAGGCACAAGAATCGTTTGGGTCTGAGGACCGCGCCTACGGCCAGGAAGAGCGCAGGGCACTGAACCAGGCAGTTGAGCGCTTCCTGTGGATTGGCTCATCTGTCTAGATCATCTCTGGGAGCTTGAGAGACTTTCTGCATGGCTGTTCTACGACCGAATCATCTCATACCCAACTATAGCAAGTATCGCTTGATTGCCGTACTATTGCGCAGCTTTCGATTCGATTGGACTGCCACTTCTTCCAGCTTGTTCTCCTCGGCCCACTGTGACTCATGCCCGCCCCACAAATATCATTGGTCTCCTCGTTTCAATAATTGGCAGTTTACCCTGCTGCCAGGATTTCTCAAACCAAGACATAGACTCCCAACGTACCATGCCAGAAAATTAAATTGAGCCAACTGAACCTTTCGGCAACAACGAAATTTCTGAGCTGTGTCCCAGCCTACTTCGGCTAAAGCTGCGGAAAGCTAGTCCCGAAGCTATTTTTGGGTAGTTCTCTAAACCAGGGTTTTTTCGGGGGTCCCTTTTATAAGGGTGCCGTACTATAGTGGGACCTAAAAAGGGACCCGAATTTAGTTTCCAGACTCGATACTCCTCCGGCAGCTTACCCGGTCCCAGTCGCCTCCAGGTCGCCCCGGAGCTGATGCAACTTCCCCTTGCAACCAGCGTTGCATGGCAGCTGCAAGAAAAAGCGTGGCCTACGTCTCTGCAGCCCGGGTTGCCATCATCAGGAAGGCGGAACCCTC